TTTAGAAGGTTATGAGGAAGAGGGACCATAAAGCTTTGTTTTATATCGATCAATGTGTGGATGAAAGTGTGTTTGAGAAGATTGTTGATTCGACAACATCAAAAGGAGTGTGGGATTTACTGGTGAGATGTTACGGTGGTGACGCATCAGTAAAGAAGGTGAAGCTTCAATCCCTGCGAAAGCAATATGAGAACTTGAACATGAAGAACATTGAAAAAGTTTCTGAATATATCTCCAGAGTGATCCTGATCACTAACGAGATGAAGGCGTGTGGAGAAACTATGTCTGAACAGGTAATCATAGAGAAGATTCTGAGGTTTCTTACCCATCAGTTTGATTACATTGTTGTTTCTATTGAGCATTCTAAAAATCTGAAAACCCTGAGAATAGAAGAATTGCAACGCAGCTTAGAAGCACAGGAGTTACGTCTGACTGAGAGAACTTCTGAAAGGGAAGCTAAGCAAGCTCTGAAGGCTTACTTTGTCAAGAAAGATCATAAGCGGAATAAACGTGGTGATAGATTTCAGAAGTCAGAAACCTCAACTTCTGATGATAAGAGATATCATAAAGGAAAGGAGAGGTATGACAAAAGGAAGATTCAATGTTACTCTTGTAAACAATTTGGCCATTTTGCTAGAGATTGTAGGTCAAACAAGGAAAGGAAATCAGAAGAGCGTATATGGCTAAGGGAAACTCTGATGATGAACCTATACTACTAATGGCTTTTGATTCTGATGGAAAATGCTCAGAAGATTGGTGGTATATGGACACTGGCTGTTCAAATTACTTAACTGGAAACAAACAATGGCTGAAAGACTTTGACTCCAAAAGGAGAACAAAGATCAGATGTATTGACGATAAGTATCTTAATGCAGAAGGTATGGGAGATGTCAGAGTTAGAGTGAAGAATGGGAAATACATTCTGATCAAAGACGTTTGGTATGTTCCTGGTATTATAAGCAATCTGATGAGCGTGGGTCAGCTGATTGAGAAAGGTTTCTCAGTTGTTGTGAAAAATAATCTTCTGAATTTATATGATTCCAATCAGAAATTGATTATGAAGTCTGAACAAGGAAGCAACATAACATTTAAAGTGAATGTAGAAACTGCTGAAGCAACGTGTCTCAGTGCAGAAGGCGCTGAAGGTGACAGTAAGATGTGGCATAAGAAGTTGGGGCATTTGAACTATAGAAGCTTAGGGCATCTATGTTCTAAGAAGCTTGTACATGGTATTTCGAAGATAGTGAAGCCTGAGAAGTCATGTGAGATATGCATGAAAGGAAAGCAACCCAGATTGTCATTTGCATCAGAAGTAGACCCCAGAGCGAAGCATGCTCTGGGAGTAGTACATTCTGATATGTGTGGACCATTTCTAGTACCTTCACTTGGAGGAAACAAATATTTTGTGTCGTTTGTGGATGAGTTCACAAGAATGACATGGGTAACACTCATCAAGTTTAAGCATGAAGTGTTTATTGAGTTTCAGAAGTTTAAAGTGAAGGCTGAGAAGCTGAGTGGTCATAAGTTAAAGATTCTGAGAACAGATGGTAGAGGTGAGTATAACTCTACAGAGTTACAGAAGTTCTGTGAGGAGAATGGAATAGAACATGAAGTTACTGCTCCATATACTCCTCAGCTCAACGGTCTTGCTGAAAGAAGAAACAGAACTTTGCTTGATATGACCAGAAGCATGCTGAAAGAAAAAAATCTACCTCACGTGTTATGGGGAGAAGCTGTTGCTACATCAGCATATATTCTGAACAGGTGTCCAACGAAGAAGCTGAAGGAAGTTGTTCCTTTAGAAAAATGGACTGGAGATAAGCAGAGTATCAGTCATCTGAATGTGTTTGGCTCTGTATGTTACAAACACGTTCCAAAAGCTAGAAGAAAAAAATTGGATGATATAAGCAAAGTAATGTTGCTGGTGGGGTATCACAGTACAGGTGCGTATAAGCTTTATTGTCCAGAAACTAATAAAGTTGAAGTCAGCAGAGACGTTGTGATGAAAGAGTCTAAAGCATGAGATTGGAACAAGTCTCAATCAGATTCTGGTGTAGTGCCAACACCATAGTTAGCTTCAGAAGATGTTTTAGAAAGTTCTGAAGATTCTGAAGATGAGTCAGAAGGAGATTCTGACAGTGGATCTAATTCTGATCCAGATGTTGATTCTGATCCAGATGCTGATGATGATCCAGAATCTGGTGGTGATCATAGTTCTGGAAGAGAAAACTCTGAAGGTGGTAACTCTGAAGGTAGTAGTTCTGGTGCAGTTTTAGAACAAGCTTAAAGACCACAGAGAATCAGGAAAAAAAACAAGAAGGTTTGCAGATTTCGACATGTTGCAGGATAATGAAGTTGATTCTGAAGGAGAAGTCGTTCAGTGTGCCATGTTAGTAGATTCTGAACCAGTGGGCATTGAAGAAGCTCTCAAGAAGAAAGAATGGTTAAATTCCATGAAAGAAGAACTTGAGGCAATAGAAAGGAACAAAATGTGGAAATTGACTATTCTTCCAGATAAGAAAAAAGCCACCAGTGTCAGATGGGTTTTTAAGTTGAAACTTAAGCCAGATGGTTCAATTGGCAAGCACAAAGCTAGACTAATAGCTAGAGGTTTTCTTCAGAAACCTAGACTAGATTACTTTGAGGTGTTTGCGCCTGTAGCTAGACATGAAACAATCAGACTGGTGATTGCTTTAGCTGTAAATAGAAATTGACCTTTGATGCATCTGGATGTGAAATCTGCATTTCCAAACGGTCCATTATAGAAAGAAGTTTACGTATCACAACCTCCTGAATTTGTGAAAAATAATCAGGAAAGGATGGTATACAAGTTGAATAAAGCTCTGTATGGATTGAATCAAGCGCCCAGAGTTTGAAATCTAAAAATTGATTCATTTTTCAAGAAGTAGAAGTTTCATAAATGTGAGATGGAATATGGTGTTTATGTGCAACACTCTGATAACAATATGATTCTGGTGTGTCTCTATGTTGATGACATTTTGCTAACAAGAAGCTGCCCAGAAGATATAAAGAAATTCAAAGAAGTTTTGATGAATGAGTTCGAGATGACAGATCTAGGAAATATGACATATTTCCTAGGGATAGAGATTCTGTACTCGAAGAAGGGTATCATTCTGCATCAGTTGAAGTACGAACTAGAACTTCTGAAGAGATTTAAGCTGTAGAATCATAAAGTTGTTGTGACACCATCAGAAACCAATCAAAAATTAGATTCTGACTCTGATGGTGATTCTGTTGATACTACAACCTTCAAACAGTTGGTTGGTTCTCTATGATATTTATGCAATACTAGACCTGACATTTGTTATGCAGTTGGATTGGTTAGCAGATTCATGAGTAATCCAAAGTGGTCTCATTTCCAAGCTGCTGTCAGAATTCTAAGATATATCAAAGGAACTCTGAAATATGGAGTGTTGTTTCCTTCTGAAAGAAAGACATAACCAGAATTAGTAAGTTATTTTGATTCTGACTGGTGTAGAGACAGAGTGGACAGGAGAAGTACTTTTGGATACTTGTTTAAATTTCTAGGAGGTCCCATTTCCTGGAGTTCCAAGAAACAGCTTTTCGTGGCTTTGTCAACATGTGAAGCTGAGTATATCGCAAGTGCTGTAGCTGCTTGTCAAGCTGTTTGGCTTCTGAATCTCTTGCATGATCTGAAGGTTGAAGTTGAGGCACCTCTGAAGCTGATGATTGATAATAAGTCTCAATTGATCTTGCCAATAATTCAGTGTTACATGGAAGAAGCAAGCATATTAAGACGAAGTATCATTTTCTCAGAAATCAAGTGCAGAAAGGAGTGTTAGAAGTTCTGCACTGCAGCACCCAGAAACAGCTAGCAGATCTTCTGACGAAGGCGGTTAAGACAAACCAATTTCTTTACTTAAGAGATGAAATTGATGTTATTAGCTTCTGATAGAAAATCTAAATTAAGGGATGATATTGGAAAAATATAATTTAGTTAATTTCTACAATTCTCAATGCTTATCCTTTAATAAGGCCTTTTGACATTTTCAATATTTAGTATAAATATGTTATTCTAGGCTATCAATATTGTACCCTACTTTATCTCTATTTTGATATACAGTAGTCTTTTGTTATCATTATTTGCTCATTCTTCTTCTCCCACTTCATTACTTTGCACCAACAAGTATTTGGTGTTGATCGTTATGATTGTTTATAAAGAATATTTTAAAAAATTGAATAAACCAAATATATTGAATGAGAAAAGGTTACAAATAGAATATTTAAAAAAATTGAATAAACCAAATATATTGAATGAGAAAAGGTTACAAATAGAACTCGGAGACCTAACCAAAAACCTCTTAGTGAGTAAGTCTTAGTCTAGGAGTACCTATGCACGTGATTATACTAAGTAACTGCTTTAGATTTTAAAAATCTATGTTCGTGAGAAATCCCTAGAAATATGAATAATCCGGAAGTCTATGTTTAAAGTATATGCCCAATACATAGGTCAACAAGATTTAATTTTCTAAGAAACAAGATTATAATTTGTAAATAATTTGACCACCCTCGTGCAATCCAATTCCAGCCAAAGTTTAATCCACTTTAATTTCATTCCCTAGCTATATGAATATGGTTAGCCATCTCATCCCTAAAAATCCCTCCGCAGGCAGCAGAAGTTGGTGTACCCGCAGCCGCACCGTCTATAGAATATGAGTAGGAAGAATGTAAAACATCTTCCATCCACTTTAAAGATATTTTAAAGATTAATGATATATTTTATTTTGCGTTTTTTATAATTTTAAATTATACTCTCTCTTTTATGTTCTTCATCTTATTATCTCAATTACAAATTTAATACAAAATAAAATCAAAATTTTTAGTATGGATAAAAAGAAAAGTCTAAAACTGAACTCTTATTATTTTTAGTAAAATATAAGTTTTACTAAAAAAATGGCCAGGTTCAGCTTCAGCTTCGAACCCCTTTTTGGAGTCCATATTAAAGGCACCCAAGAAGATCAAATGACTACTTTTCTAAACTTTGCTACAAAGAGTCCACTAGTTTGTGATGTTAATGGGTCAAATCGCCATGTTTTTTGTATGCGTCCACCCTTGCAAGGCCATTTTCTGGCAGCATCTATCTCCATCAACTCTGTAGATTGAAATAAATGTTGCAAAAACATTAGAAGATTGAGACATTAAACTATGCAAGAACAAGGCAAAACTTCAGACATAATAATAGAAACATAATAAGAGTTCAACATGAGTGTCCTAAAAATGAGACATTGTACAGATTATGCAAGGTAAGCAATATTAGCCCGTCACTGTCCAACATTCCCCTCCAAAAAGAAGAGGGTTGGGTCAAAAACAAGGTTTGAGGATAGAAGCATTAGGAATCCAAGAGTGAGGATTTTCTACAAGAAAAAACATAATACCATTTGACAACAAACAAGCACAGTGAACCTGCTAACCATATTAAGGATAGTTAATAAACTTTCAGTCCATAAAAATCAGTTCTGTTCAATCTTAATCCCTGTAAAACTTGTCCATTTTTAGTCTCTAAAAAATACAAAACTGTACGTGTTTAATTCCCATAGAGGACTAAAATCACAGTTTTGATACACGCAGGGACCAAAAATGAAGGGAAAAAATTGTATAAACTAAAGTTGAAACATAATTGCATAGACTACAAATATATTTAACTCAAACAAAAAAATATTACACATGGATTATTGGAAATAGGTGAAGCTTCAGACATATTTCAATAGGAAAGAAAATGAAGCACGAAAATCCTACCGGCGGTTATATTTTCCTTCAAGAACTGTTCTACCACATCTTCATTTTGTGCAACAGTTAAACTAATGAACAATAAGGCATTTGTTAGAATAAAATCGTGTGATCTAAATTGTGGTGTCTTTGCGTGCATGTATTTTGATTGCTTGTAAAAGAGCAAGAAGTTACAGAATAAAAGGCACCTGCAAGTGCTATAGACGAGTGATCCTCCAACTTTTAGTAGTCTGAAACCGTTAGTGAGAAGATTCAGCTGTAGTGAGATACAAAAGGTATATGTGCGGGTTAAAAAGAAAATGATATTTAAGACTAAAAGCATGCATGTAAATTATAGTTCAAGAGAATAACAAGTCTTTGCCTGAAGAGCATGTAAATTATCCGTCCTCTCAGCATCCAACACACGACGTTGAAGAGTTACCCAGCCCCAATGTTCAAACTTCTGAATATGTTTAACTGAACCATCATGAGTGCATTCTGCATCCACAAGGACCTGAATCAAATCCCAACAAATGGTAATTTTTTAAGGGTAAATGACAGTGAAGAACTGTGCAAAATGAATTCAAAGTAAAGAAGTAGTTACTTTGTCATAGCCATAGCCTGCAATCTCATTTTCAGATACAGTCTTATATAATTCTCCTTTAGTAAGACCGATAACTCCAGAATGCCGTCCATAATATATGAGTTCAGGAGGGTGAGACTTAGACACCACTTGTGGAGTGCCACACTTCTTTGCTTTTTTCCTTTCTTTCCATGGTCTTTTAGATGTCCACTCCTTGAACACGTCCATTCTTTCTTCCAATCTAGACTCACCTGTTTAATACTTGATAGAATGAAAACATTTCAAAATTGGGTAATAATGATTAATGAATAAGCATGATATTAAAATTTCAATATCACATTCCAAGTTTGATCATAATATACCAAATATCATTGCCATAGCTTAAACATCACTAACATGATTTAGAAACAGAATGAAACCCCTCAGGAATAACTGAAAATGCTGTTCCATCAGCAACAAAAAGCCGGCATCTATCACCCAGTTTATACTTCTGCAGCATTGTTCTACATGCTGCCAACCGATGCCTTGCAGCATCAACTCCAGTTACGGAACCCGAATCACCAAGAAGGTCTAGCATCATACAAAGTTTGGCACCTAAACATCACATTTGAAAAGAAAAGAAAAAAATCATTATAATCATGTGCTTTGTTTAGCAAATTGAAATAATTATATAGAAAGTTGCTCTTTGAACCAAAATCATCCCCAAAAATGTTTTTATTTAGAATTAAAAGTCTTATACATGTTCTCCCGGAAATAAATCAAATCTTATTCTCAAAAACAACTTTTCTGACATTATTAGAAACAATAAAAGGACAGATTATGAAGCATGTCTACTTCAAATATGTCAAAGTATCATGGGTCCAACACTTAGTGGGACATGGCTTGGTTGTTGTTGTTGTTGTTATCAGTGTCCAACATGTATCCAAAACTGATGCGTCTGAAACTTCCCGATAAATACCCAAAAAGTATCCAATCATTTTATTAACTCACTTTTAAAATAAAATAAAAAACCCACCAATACATCTCAGATACAACCTCAATACTTCCTCCCAACTATAGACAAATGTTGTCTAGATATGATACGTACCAGCAATATGTATATCTTGGTTACATCATATTAACTACAAACACAGATTTTTTTTGTTTTTTGCGTCACATTCATAGTAGAAAGAATAGTGTTTATATAAGTATGTTCAGAAAAGCGTCCAATTGGACTTAGAACACGGAACCATTGTGAAAGTACTACTAGAATAGAAGCATCATGTTAACAACAATTGGCGAAATTGAACGGGTTGCAAAGTTGAAAACAGATAAGGTATCCCAACTTGTTATAATCAAAAATACCTTTTTGCAGATTATGATCATCATATGTTGACTCATGATATGCTTATGTACTTATAATTCACAGACTTGTTAACCTATCTTGGCCATATTGTATCTTAATTTTTTAAAATTTTTCAAATCCTTGTATTTGTATCATACCATCATCTTCTTACTAAGTATCCGAGCTTCTTATTGGACAGATAATATAAACATGATTGAGCAAAGAAATATCTACCAGGAGCAGCACATAGGTCCAACACATGATCCCCAGGTGCTATACCTAAAGCCATAACAGCAGCTCCAGAAGATGCATCAATACCATATATCTAATACACAACACAATCAAACCATAGTCAATAACAAAAAAAAAAAAAGCAAAATAATAAACCATAATCAATAACACAAAAACAACAGAATTCAAATTCCAATGCAAAGAAAGAAACTCAGTTACCTTTCCTTCTTGGTATGCCTTAGTACTAGCAATTTGAATATGAGGAGGAAGAGTGTAAAACCCTAGCAACCATTCCAATTTTTCGGGTTTACATTTAACTTCTGATTCAACATCTTCTATACAATCTTCGAAACCGGGTTTCAAACTTTCACCCCCAATTCATAAAATAAATAAAAATAAAATAAAAACAGTGTTGAGAAGATGAAGGATTGAGGAGTGGAAAGTGGAATTTACCGAATGTATCGTGGTGTGGAATCAATTGAAGTGTAAATGGATGGGTCGATTCCGTTGGATTCTAAGAAGTGGAGAAACGCGTCGGGTAGTGGCGCCGTTGCAGCACCGTGTTCCATGGTTGCTTGAGGGTGGTTGGGTTATTCGGTGAGAGCAACGTGTTTTTGTTTTATCGTTCCGGGAAAATATCTTACGGAATGGCATAAATTAATATGGAGAGGTGTCCAATTGATTTTGGAATAATAGTTTTAAAATATATGATTCTTTTAAAATATAAGTGTTTTTGGAGTTTGTGAAACTCAATCGAAACATGCATCAATTTTAATTGAAATTGAAATTTGTAACTTTTGAATTTAAACGTGATTTTTATATTATAATTTATTGTTCAACTCATTTTTATATAAATGTATTTAAATATAAATCATTTTACATTCAATTTAGTTTTAACCAAAATCAATTCTACAAAATTGATTTTGTTCTGGAACTAGAAGTGAACATAATCGGTTGATGCCAAATCCTGAACAGGTGGTGTTGATCTCTGATACGATGGTGCGGGATAGACCTGCAAGGTTAGCACTTCAACATCTAAGTCAGTTCAACATTCGAGATGAGTATAGTGAAAAGTGAATATCATAAAGTATATCTTATTGGAATTAATTTAATAGCAATGTAATCACATATACATGCTTAACATATCATTGTTAGAAGTAATTCATATTCAGGAGTTGTTGTTAGAGTTAGAAGCTTCTGAGGATGTTAGTCAAAAGCAGTAGTTAGTGAGGTTGATAGTTAGAAGCTTTCTAGAAGCAATTCTTAGTTGTTAACTTAGCTTATCATACTTTTGGTTGTGCATGCGTGACAGTTTATTTTTTGTGTATTTAAATAAGTTTGTCTCTCTTCCCTCTCTTATTCCATCTTCGTATTCATCTTCAACCTTATACACTAACAATTGGTATCCAGAGTTCTAGTTTGATTCATAGGGAAATACGAGTGTATGTGAGGCGTGTGTGATTGATTTCGTTTATTGAATTCGCGTTTAATTCACGATCAGAATCCTTACACAATTACATTTCTTGATTTTACGGGATCGGGAAACACAGGTGTTTGGTGATATCTGAGTTAGTTTCAGGACACAGGAACAAAGATGAATGGAAGAAACAACTTGAATACAAAGCTTTCAGTGTTTGATGGAAAGAATTGGAGTTGGTGGATGATTTAGATGTGTATGTTGTTCGGTACTCAAGACGTTCTTGATCTTGTCACCGATAGTTACGTTCCAGTTGCAGCTGATGTGGTGGAGGAACAAAGAAACGTGCAAAGAGATATGAGGAATAAAGATCAGAAAGTGTTGTTCTATATCCATCAGTATGTGGATGCGAATGTGTTTGAGAAATTTATTGATTCAACAATGGTGAAGGTTGCATGGGACATACTGGCACAGTGCTACAGCGGTGGCATTAGTGAAGAAGGTGAAGCTTCAGTCTCTATGTAAGAAGTATAAGAATCTCAACATGAAGAACAATGAGAAGGTACCTGATTATATCTCTAGAGTGATTGTGGTTACAAATAAGATGAAATCTTATGGAGAAACTCTTTTTGAACAAGTAATCATTGAGAAGGTATTGAGATCTCTTACTCCTCAATTTGATTACATTGTTGTAGCAATTGAATATTCTAAATATCTCAGCACCATGAGAATTGAAAAGTTGCGGGGTAGTCTAGAGGCATAAAAGTTGTGTTTGACTGAAAGGACCTCTAAATGAGAGGTAGAGCATGCTCTGAAGGCGTCTTCTGGTAAGAAAAGTCAGAAGTAGTCTTGGTCAGAAGCAAAGAAGAGACATGGCGATGGTGTTCATAAGTCATAAGCCTCAAACTCTAATGAGAAGAAACATCAGAAGGGAAAGGAAAAGCTATTAGAACAAGATTGGTTCTGATCATATCTCAGAGTTTTGATGATAACAATAAAATATATTTTATATAATTGATACTCTGATGAGCATATTTCTTTGTTTCAGATAATATTCTGACTGAAGTATTTTCTTAGATGAAAATCTTTTTTACGTGCTGAGTTGAAAATAAATGAAGTTCTTTGATAAAAGAACTATTTGTTTTAGCGCAAGTTCTGATGCTGACTCTGATAAGAAACTATTTAATGCATCTTCTAATCCTAAGCAAGTTTCCATGCAGACTGTGTTCAGAAGTATTTTGCAAGCAAGCGCTGATAAGAATTTATTTGCAAGCAAATTCTGAAGCAAGATGTGAAGCTAGTTCTGAAAGAATAAAGAAGCTAACAAGTCTTGTCAAGTTTCAGGAAACATGCTTTGACAAGTGTCGTTTGTTCATTTAATGCAAAGACGGCTAAAAGCACTCAAGTGTCTACACTAGTTCATTGAAAAAAGCAATACTGCAAGCAAACACGCAAACATTAATTGCTCCACTCTTTTGAAGGCAGCAACAGTCGTTTTCTTCATGCTATAAATATAAGATCATTTATTGCAAGCCAAAAAATCAAACTACGTGAAAAATATTCTACTGCTCACAAACACTTTGTTATTTTCTCAAGTGCTAAACTTATCTTAGTGAAAAATCACAGTTTGTGATATAGCTTTCTAAGAAGCAATTTGTTTCACTATTGTAAAGATTTAATTATTGTATTTGTTCCTTGAGAGACCAAGTTTGGTCAGATTTCTCAAGAAGGCTAGGACTAGTTTGAGTCTTAGTGGTGTTAGTCACTTGTAATTTTACTTGGGCTTTGAATTGTTAGTCACAATAGTTTGGTTATGTGATTGTAATCTGTTTGATTATAGTGAATTAAGTCCTTGTTGAGAAAGGCAAAATCACCTTGGCGGGTGGACTGTAGTAGTTTGAGTTCAAACGAACCAGGATAAAAATAATTGTGTCTTTCCATTATTGTTGAGCTAGTAAGAAAAAGATAAAGAAAAAAAACTTATTCAACCCCCCTTCTAAGTGTTTTCTTTCCCTTCAATTTGTATCAGAGCTTGACTCTGAGTGCAACACTTAACCGTGTCAGGAAAAGATCCAGAAAGAAAACACGATGGCAACTGAATAAAACAACAATGACTACACCAAACCTCTAGTGTTTGATGGAGAAGATTTTGAATATTGGAAAGATAGACTAGAAAGTTTCTTTCTAGGTCATGATAGTGATTTATGGGATATAGTCTTGGATGGTTACACACATCCTATAGACTCAGTAGGAAACAAAATTGATAGAAAAAATATGGATAGACAAAAAAAAGTTGATTTCAAAAATCACCACGGAGCTAGAAATATTTTTATAAACGCTATCTCTAAAATGGAATATGATAAGATCACAAATAGAGGTACAACACATGATATGTTTGAGTCTCTCAAAATGAATCATGAAGGAAACACTCAAGTGAAGGAGACTAAAGCTCTTGCTCTCATCCAGAAGTATGAAGCCTTTAAAATGGAAGAAAGTGAATCTATAGAAGTTATGTTCTCAAGATTCCAAACTCTGATCGCTGGCCTGAGAATTCTAAACAAGGGATACACTAAGGCAGAACACGTTAAGAAGATTATCATAAGCTTACCTAGAAGATGGGCACCTATGGTCACTGCTTTCAAAGTATCAAAAGATCTGAATAATGTGTCTCTTGAAGAACTCATCAGCGCTTTAAGAACTCATGAGATAGAACTTGATGAACACGAGCCTCAGAAGAAAGGTAAGTCTGTTGCCCTTAAATCAATTAAAAAATATGAAACTAATGCTTTTCAGGCTGAAGAAGGAAACTCTGAAGAATTTGCGTCAGAAGAAGATGAACTATCCTTGCTCTCCAAAAGGATCAACCAGATGTGGAAGCATAGACAGAAGAAGTTCAGGAACTTCAAGAAGTCAGAAGATAAACCAGAATCTTCTTGACACAAAAAGTCAAACAGAAGAGAGATAATCTGTTATGAATGTAAAGAACCTGGACATTATAAGAGTGATTGTCCAAAACTACAAAGAGAAAGACCAAAGAAAAAGTTTGGTAGAAAGAAAGGCATGATGGCCACTTGGGACGATTCAGAGTCCTCTGAAGATGAATTTGATTCTGAAGATGAGAACGCCAACCTAGCTCTGATGGCTACCACATCAGATGATTCAGACTGTGAGTCAGAACCAAAAGAGGTATTCTCTGAATTTACTAGAGTTGAACTTGCTGAAAGTTTATCAGAACTTCTGGAAAACTATAGTCAACTCAAAATCAAATACAAGAAACTCAAGAAGAGTCTTGCATCTGATCTTGAGAAACATGAAACAGAAAACTCTGAACTCAAAGAAAATAATTTTAAACTTAAAGAAGAAATTCAAAAAGTTCAAAAAGTTTCTATTTCACAGTCTGCGTCAAGTTCAAAAGATATTCTGAAAGAATATGACTCTAGTTTTCAAACTTTTCTTGCTAAAAGCATAGATAGAAGCAAAATGGCTTCAATGATCTATGGAGTTAGTTGGAACAACAGAAGAGGAATTGGATATGAAACTCCAAAAGGGAAGGAGACATATATACCCAAACCTGTTGCTAAAATATAAACCTCTGAATAAACAATTTAGTTTTGGGCACACACATGATATTAAATATACACCTCACTCTGGAAATTCTTATGCTAATCCAAAGTTCAAATAGAACTTTAAATACTCTAACTAGAGAGGACCCAAAAAGATATGGGTACCTAAGGAGAAAATAATATTTGTTGCAGATGTCCTTAACAGCTCAATTGAGACACCAGTCATGGTACCTGGACTTTGGGTGCTCACGACACATGACGGGAAGAAAGTCTATGTTCCAAAACCTGGAATTTAAATCTGAAGGAGACGTCAAGTTTGGAGGTAATCAGAAAGGAAAGATTATTGGTTCTGGAACCATTAGAAATGGTAACCTTCCTTCTATCTCTAATGTTCTGTTAGTTAAAGGATTAGTGCATAACCTGCTGTCCATAAGTCAATTAAGTGACAACGGTTATGACATTATCTTTAATCAAAATTCCTGTAGAGTTGTTAGTCAAAAAGATGGAACAATCCTCTTTTCTGGCAAGAGAAAGAACAACATCTACAAAATTGATTTGTCAGATCTTAAAACTCATAATGTAAAATGCC